TATATATATATATATATATTTAAACTTTATGATATTTCATGCATTACTTAGGTCCGAGACGGTGAGTTCATGTGTGCACTCACGACTCACTGCTGCTATGCTTGATCCGACTCTGATTCATGTGTGTTTTTGTGAACTGCGATTTTAATTGAGTTAATTTGCTAGGTTTGATAAAATATTCTATTGGTACGCTGAGCAGAGTTACTTTATATTAAATTTAATGATATTGACTCATTCGAGCACTTTTCTCGTTGTATATTTTTCTATTTGATTCATAACAGTGGTTACTGATTACGTTGGTGATGTTTTCTGCATTGTAGGTGTCACTTGGATTTGGCTTTATCTGAATTGGTGAAAAATGTTGTCCTTCGAAATGAACGATCGAAAGAGTAAGTCATTCAGTTGATTACTAATCTAATGTTGCTCTAATTTTGAGTTATTTCCTTTAGCAATCCATTGTTCATGTGCGTTGAAGATTAGCCTTCAGTAAATGGAAATGTAGAATGTGGCGAAATGAGGGATAGTCTAAAGAAAAGGAGCTTCCACTTCCAACCTCGAGGTTGGGGGTTCTAGTTAGGGTTTGATTTGGGCTGCGGTATGCAAGAAAAGTTGCAAATTTATATTGCATATCTGTTTTGGTAAATTCTGATCAAGTTAAAGCTATGGTCTAGCCTGTAATCGGGATAGTAATACGGATTATGTAGATGGTTTAGATTTCAGTTTATGTAATGCTGAACCTTAAAGCGTACCTGTTTTAGCATTCAGGAAGCATGAATATTCATTTTGTATATAGTTTTTTCAATTATCACATCACATTTTCCTGATGATAGCGTCTTATGGATTTCTACCTCCTATTTTGGTCTGCGGACAGTGTGCATTTTTATGATAGTGTTTCTTTTACCAGATATTTATATGTGTGCTGCTTAGTGCTATTCTAGCTTGGAAGATAAAAAAAATGACGCATTCAGCACCGCTATTTGATATATTATATTATTTCTGTTAAGCTTGGGATTCTTGTTGAAACAGAGATTGGGCTAGGATTGACGGGATTTGGAGTGTTTTTCTCATTCCTTGGGATTGTTTTCTTTTTCGACAAGGGACTAATTGCCATGGGAAATGTAAGTTTAATGTCTTTCCATTATCATAATATTTCTCTGTTTTCCTTGATTTTCTTTTGCCAGCTTACCTTACTTTTCTGCCAGTTGACATACTGTTATTTTACTGAATCAGATACTCTTCATCTCAGGGGTGGCACTGACCATTGGTCTCAAGTCATCATTGCAGTTTTTTATGAAACGTAGTAATTACAAGGTTTGCTTTCTTTTATGTGTCTTTGTTTCCTGCTTTTTTCTTCCATCTTTTCCTCTTTACTCCTCATATTGATGATCTGGTGTATATCATTTGTGTTTATATTTATTATTATGCTTAGCTATCTTGCATACTTGTTTTGCTTGTTCCACAGGGAACCATTTCATTTGGTGCTGGATTTTTCTTTGTTGTCATTGGTTGGCCTATACTGGGAATGATTCTTGAGGCCTATGGATTTGTCGTACTCTTCAGGTAAATTGGATTCATAAGTTATTGATGGTCCTTCACCTTTAGTCCTTTTACTTTTATCTCGGGATGCTAATAAATAGTTTTGGACAGTGGTTTCTGGCCAACCCTGGCAGTTTTCCTGCAAAAGATACCTATTATAGGCTGGATCTTTCAGCAGCCTTTTGTCAGATCGGTATGTGTTTCCCGTCATTTATCTTTTTCATTGCTATCAGCTTTGTTATATTCTGTGCATTGAAGGATTTTTTGGAATTTATGTTACTAAGATTAGGAAAGAAGTAATATATGTTGATTCATGGTGTAGTAGGTAATCCTTGGAATTGACACAGAGAAACCAGGAAGTACTTTTAACTGTCCAAAGTTTTGTCATAATACGACTATGCTACACCAGAATTATTAGAATCCTAAAAGGAACTGAAATAGGAACGGAAAGAAATTATCAATCCTTCCCCCCCGCTAACTAGCAATTAGTTCAACATTTACCAGTCTCCACCACGACTTTCACGGACCACATGCTT